TTTTCTTTTCTTTTTTTTTTTTCTTTTTCTCTTTTTTATAAAAAAATAAATATATTTTTTATCCCAAATATTCCAAAAGCAGCCATCATGCGCTCCTTCTTCCCTTCGTAAACGCCGTTCCCTGATCCTTGATCTATCACTAACAGCAAACGTCCAAAAGTCCTGGAAGGGCACGACTGAGGCAGTGGGATACCAGCAAACGAATGAAGGTTGCTGAACAGGCAGATTGTGCTTCCAGATAAGTTATCCCTTTCCGTTTGCTCAGTTAAAGGAATATATAACTGATATTCAAGGAGCCAAATTAAGGCTATCATTAGGGGGCAACATTCAGACTAGCAAGGGTATTCGATGAGAGACAATTAGGGTAGGCACCTGGCCTTATCTTCCTGGCCAAATGTATGCTTGAGGAGGGCTATGGCTCAAAATGGAAGTGGGTATATTCAGCCTACCCTTAACGAGATGTCCTCAGACAGTCAGGGGGGAGGCCCAACAGGGAAATATGGGTTGGATTGGATATCAAGTCCAGTGCCCTCGGATGGTAAAAGATATATAACAAGAGGAAGAGGCAAAATCAAACTATTGAGGTATATTTGGACTGTTTGGGGTATAATACTGACCAGGGCCAGCGGCCAAGAGCATGTAATTAGTCATCCTTTCTTCGAATAATATATCTGAGGCCATGGATGGAGGTGGATTGTGGCTTGATACTGAGTGTCGAGAGTGAAGAAGAGTTGCGTTGTCAAGATGTCGTTTCGAAGGAGGAAGTTAGGTTAGGCGTATTACTAATCTAGATACTAACCAGATTCGATATAGTAACATCACGTGTATGAGCTAGTTCAAACGTTAATTTAGTTTTCATTATTATGGAACTTTGTGTTTGTCGGATATGGCTGCAATGGAAGAGAAAGAATCGGTCAACACGCGAGTACGCAGCATAAAGGGTTTATATTGATGAGCTTGAATATGTGTAAATACATGAATTGAAATCTCCGTTCAAACATACAGGTGGAAGTTGACTAAGCGGAACATTTGACGATTAGAGGCGGTTGTCTTTAATTAACCCTCCGCGACGAGGAGCCGAAAAGCCACAATAATTTTACGTTTACGGCTTCCCAGAAAGACGGAACCATGGGAAAGCTTTATTCCAGATGTGGCCTAGATGGTATGTTGTGAAGTGTCTGAGGAACTTTGCGTCACCCACAAGCAAAGGAAAAATGACGACACCCTGACGTAAGATTCTGAACCTAATGCTATTATAAAAGGACGACCTACTCTGTTTCCTCTCCTTCGCTCTTCTTTTCACTTCGTATAATATATTTAGGAATATTATCATTGCGATACCCCAAGAAAGACTCCGCATGCTCTTTCGCTGTTATAACCCGGACATATCATCCTGACCTCACAAAATGATGATTGAAGATTTATTGCGGTTTGTTAGCGACCGTACTCTACTCCTTGCCGGATGCTGCATTATACTTATCATCAAGGCGTTCTTTGGCATTGGGCCGAATTTTGAAATGCTATTTGATCGTATGCAGATGTTTTGGGATTGGGTTTCGACTATACCTTGGAAGATAATCGAAGCTTTCCAGCCCAGTGATGAACGTGCGAGAGAAGCAACCTGGGCCATAGAAATCAGTAATTTGGCCAGGAAATCTCATACATGGATGCAGCGACAATTATTCCTTCGAGAAACAATAATTGAATACGCCATACAAGGGAAACTAGAGAAGGTTAATGATCTGGATTGTTCCGGCCCCAAAGACTGGCAAGATAAGTTATTGAGCCAGACTTATATAGACTGGGCTCTCTCAAATAAATGGTATGAAGTCTATAAGCACGAGCCTAGTGGCCCATCAAAGAGGATATCTGATATTTCTATCTCTCGAATACGTAAAACCCTTCGCAATAACCCTACCAAATACCTTTTACGGCAAGATCTTCATTCGGCATGCAAGATACGAGATGGTTGCTGTGCGAGAGCATGTCAGTGCTGTATGAAACCTCGGGGCCTATATCCAGATAAACGAATATACTACGCCCATTGCACATTATACTGTGGATGTTGTATCCGCAGTCGAGGTTTCGTAAAACATGAAGAACTGGGAAAGGATGTTGAAAATCTTGCCGATTTTTCAGTAACGCATTTTCCTATTGAAGACCCTGAAGGGTTCAGAGTCCTATAAGGAACCGAGCCCTAGAGGAAACGGCCCGAGAAGCATGGGAGAAGGAGAACTCGGAGGAAACATAAACAACAAGAGGAAGAATTCTTCTCTCCTCCTCTCCTCTTTCCCTACTTACAATGTCTGTTCAGGCCTTCTTCGCTTCCATCTCCCTTCTTCCCAAGCCGTCACAATTGGGTCATACAACATTTCTCCTCCTGTCTCCTCTTCTCTCCCCCTGTCTGTCACGGCCGCCACCGCAGCTAAAGACACCAACCTGTGTCTTGATGGAGGCTATTTCACCATCTACTTTGTGTGTACATAAAGACGTGCTTCGGCATTTTGTGTGAATCCGGTTCGTTCGACAATATCTATCACAGAATATGATCCTAACCCTGATAACATAGGTGTCCACGTGGCATTGGACGCTCCCAGAGGATCAGCTAACGATGTCGTACTTAGACTGTAAATTAACCCTGCATTAGAGCTTGACGTATAGTTTGAATCAGAAAGGCAGAGTACTAAAATTGAACAAAGTCAGGCCACTAGATAGGTATCAGACATCCACCAGGCGATGTACCAAGTGTGTGTGTATACCCCGAACTCTTATCAAAATGCAGGTTCAAGTCTCGATATGGAGCGGGTCTTTCTCGGGTCATTTGCCCAACTTTCACCAAAGGCGTTTCCCGAGGCCCTTCTCCGAGGGTAGGAGACATTAACTCTTGTTATAATCATTAACACCCATTACGGAGTATTTATATGGGGTATTAGAAGCCCTCCAGAATACATGTCGGCTAATAATTCTGCCGATGTACCACTTGGACTCATATGTGATCTGGATATCGAAAGTCACAGATAGCCCACACGATAAGCGGTCACACTCTTGATATAGTATACAAATCTACCTCCGTTACGTGAGTATGATGCTGGAGGATAACAGAACGTATTCAATATTTTCCAATTCATAGGTCTCACTCATTAGACGTATTCTGCGGGAAGAGCATAGAATCACTAAGCAACCGATCCATATCCTCAGATCGAAGACGGAGAGAAATATCCACACCATTCGCAGTCCATGAACTCGGTAAGCTTCCATCCGAGGTATCCTCCTTCTTTAGCGGAGGTGCCTCCTTTATCACGATAGTTCCATCCATGTCCGGGATAAAGCTATCTGCATACCGAATTATAGGGGACGACCCCAACCCGAAATCTATCTCATAGAGACCCGCCCGCGCCCAGCTCGTTACCAGAATATGGCGCCGGCCTAGGAACGCTTGCCAGATCCGCTGCGGCGACTCTTCATATGCCACGCTATGAAGATGGGCAGCGAGAAGATCTGGTTGGCTGACTTCTCCAATCGTCTGGCGTATGCGTTGTGCGATCGACTGGAGAGCGGGTATATTGCAAGGCCTTGATCCGGCCGTCACGTCCGCCGATGACATCTCTACATTGATCATAAGCATCGGGGAGCCCAAGAAAGACTTATCAAGTTTGAATGCGGGCCGGACCCCGTATACAAGATCGCAATGCACTGGCTGGCTGTCTTCTTCTAGATTGCGAGCACGATTGATGCACGACCAGACGTGAGCTAGGATAGCATCGTGCTGGCTGATGCGAGTTGGCCCCATATCCCGGGAAAGCCCACAAGTTGCTCCTTTCAGTATGGCTTCTACTTGATGCCGATTGAGGTGAACAACATAGTGTGAGACTGGCTCAGTTATGTTCCATTCCGACCACGGCATCGGTTTACCAGCCGGAGATAGCATCTTGCCGGCTAAAGCCTCTGGTACCTTTACGGGCCAAGGGGAATTGGGTGAAGATGCCCACCAGTCATAGCGATGGAGAGGCATACTTTTGGCCCTTTGGATAATAGCCATGTCGGGCTCGACAGCGTCAATATCACCTGCAGCTAAAGAGTCTAGCAACCCAGGCTCAAACAGGGGATTCAGGGTTGGACATGGCGTGTTCGAGAGGACCGACCTACTGACACTAGCCCAGTCCTTTACGAAGTACACCAGAGACTGAATATCTGCCAGTGGATGAACGATCTTGACAGTCAAAATGAAGCCGCCACATGCTAAGTTCGTTAGCTGAATAGCTAGCAAAGGCGGGAGGAGACCAGCATCGTCTAGAATATCAGGCTGCAGTGCATTAGACAGAGCCGTTGAAGGAACGAACTTCTCTGGTGGTATCTCCTGACGGTTCCAGACAGGCTGATCCACTGTTCTCAAGGCTGGACAGACAGTATCAAGAGTGGCCGTAGTTTCGGCAACTCTGAACTCTACCCCGGGGTCTTGAGGGGTCCCATACTGTACATAAACTCGGCCAAAACGCTGCGTATGAGGCCCTGCTGCACCGTCGAGGGTGGTTATAGCATTAATACGGCCACACCATTGTGGGTAGGCATCTAAGACCACCCGGAGCGACTGGCGCAGATGGTCTGCTAGGTCAAATTCAGGTCCTGCGGCAGTCTCGGGGGCTTCACACAGCCAGGTCGAGCAGGTATGCGCAAAATGAACCGTAGTCGCATCCAGAAGCGAGAGAGCTATCGTTTCCTCGGAGTCCTGCTTCGTCCTGGGAAATATCCGCTCAGAGTACAGGATGGAGACCATGACAGAAGACATAAGAATAATATAAAAGTATCTGCCACTTCAGGTTTAGCTTTTGCGTTTAGTTATATTTGTGTGAATATTGATTCTCCCGCGAAGCGAAGTTTGCCCTCCTCCTCACCGCACAAAAGGATGCAGGGAACAGGCAGCCGTCCAGGCCGACGTGAACCATGCAGAACACGAAGGCGACATCATTCAAGGTTTCTCGCGAGCCGAAGAAGGCCTTCCAGAATTGTTCTCGTGCGTGGCGCCGGCATCCTAAATCGCCCTTTATCGAGTGTGAGCAGCAGGATGATTGGCTGCAAACACCAGCGTCACTGCAGCTGTCATGAATGTGCGGAGGAACTAAGTGGTTCAACAGGCCTGCAGCGCGAGAGGACGGAGCTGGAAGTGATAACGAATAACGAATAACGGAGGATGTTCAGGATAGTTAAGGTTGTTGGCTTGACTAGTTAACTGAGTTTATGCCTCGGCAATCGTGAGGGCTGACTAAGCGGCTAGTCCGGCTCCGGCGATACGACGACGGCCGGCATTTTCAACTTCCCAACCTTCATGATTTATTATTGGAAGGCTTCGGCTGGCTGGACAGAAAGGTCGCTGGCCGTCTTTTTATCGGTCGAGCATGGAAGAGTTTACTTTGGGAACCTGGCCGCGTCCAGGGATCCCCTGCAGGAAGAGTTGCTGGCCTATCCAGCTGCCCGTGTCCGTCGTGTTGGCGACAGAGGAACGGCTTGCCCCTTGAGGGGAAATTGAGATCTTCGCACGCCACCCCCATGGTTCGCTCGCTGGGGAATCGTATAATTTGGTGCAATGCTTATGATACCCGCTAGGCTGGAAATAGATAGCCGTCAGCGATCCCCTCGGGTACCTGGTGATCTCGACCCAATTTCATGGAACAAATATGATGGGAGTGATCAAGTCTCGAGCTCACTCTCGGCCTGAGGGAATGGGCTATCCGGAGGAGATACCCCTTGCGGAAGATAACCAGGGCTTATCCCTGGCGTATTCCTCGAACTCCGCTGCAAATAATGTTTAAATACGTTTATTTCTCCTCTGCGGGATATTTCGTGATCAAGGTCTCTCGCCTACCCTTGCGCTATCCTCCACTACCTTGGGGCCCTCCCACCCATGTAATGATAACCAGCAAAGGATGCCCTCTATTCTTTCGGGGGATTGTTGACTTCCCTTCGTCCCCCAGCACCTTGCCTATGCTGAGGGATCGATGAGCTGGCTAGACCAGTTTCCCGGGTATTTAAGAGCCAGCGGGGTCCCCATTTTCTCCAGATTCCCCAGGTTTTGCAGGGTTTCACAGCAGTCGTTGTTTTCTGCCTGCTCACCCCAATCTACGCACATCTTGTGTGTGGGCCTTTCACTCTTTTAAATCACGGTCGCTTTTTAACCAAACCCTCACTCGGGAATCATGGTGCGATTCCACAAGGCCGTTGTTGGCCTTTTGCTTTCTTCCAGTGGCCTTGTGACTGCTGCCACGGAGCCATGCGCCCAGGTCGCTGAGGAGCAGCGGAAGCAGAAGGCAGGAAACCCAAATGGTATACAAATCAATTAAAACTTTTCAGCTAAAAATATGGGGGAAACTATACATGCTAATATATATGTCTACATAGCTACTAACTTCACCGTCTCGGCGGAGCTCGCTCACGCCTGTCTGACTTCAGTTCCGTTCAAATCGAACGACTCACTGCAGTTGATTGACGGCTTGAAGTATTTCTGGGACTGGCAGACTACCAAGGACTTCCTGAAGAACCCACCACAGGGCTACGCCGTGCCTGGCACTGATCTTGAGGGAGGAATTGCAAAGATTCGCCAGAAGGCAGCCAGCAATGGATACAAGAACGAATTTGAATTCCAGTTCGAGCTCGATGCACTTGTGAGAACTGTACATGATGGTCACTTCAACCTGGCAATGGACCTTATTACCACTTTTGCCTTCACCCGCTCTGATATCGGCTCGCTCGTGTCTCTTTCTGATGACGGAAAGAACTTGCCAAAGATCTACTCTCTCAGTATGTTCAATCTTACTCTCTTGCTCAGTGTTATTCAATTGCAGCTAACATGTCTATGAAGATGACCTCCAAGGTCGATCGATGAACGCATCGGCTCTCAAGACTATTGACGGGCAAGATGCCACCGAGTGGATGAAGAAGTTCTCCTTCAGCGGGTTCTTCCAGGATCCTGATGCTCTCTATAACGGCATGCTTTTTAACCTTCCCCTTACCAGGGTTAGTGGTACTGGTGGGTTCTTCACAAGCCGTGGTCTCTACACCGGTACCAAGATGAGTGTTACCTTCGAAAACGGAACTACCAAGGAGTTTGGACATACCGCCACTTCTACTGCAGACTTCTCTGGTGTCAAGGATGGCAATACTTTTTACGAAAAGTTCTGTAGCGGCAAGCAACAGGCTACTGCTGCTTCTCTAACGGATTACGAGCACACTGCTTTCCGAGACCACCGCTTCCTTACTGCCAACCCGATATCTTACCCGCCATTCCCCTTGGCTCAGCGTACCGTTCCTCCAGTAACCCCACTCCGTGAATCTATGGATGGTGCCGCTGCCGGCTACTTCCTCGAAGGCAAGGATTCTAAGGTTGCTGTACTTAACCTCCGATCCTTCGTTGGTGCTTCTGAAAATAACGATCCCTTGTGGGACTTCAGCTACACTGTCACCAAGTTCTTGGAAGACTGCAGAAAGGCCGGTAAGGAGAAGCTGATTGTTGATGTCAGCGGCAACAGGGGTGGTACCATTTTCCTAGGCTACGATACCTTCAAGCAGGTAAGTCAATCGGCGGCAAGATATCCCTCGAGATACCCTTAAGCTAACAGCTTAAAACACAGCTTCTCCCAACAGGAAGAATTGAAACTCCTTTCAACCTCCGTGCCATTGAGCAGTTCGACATCATTGGAACTAAGGTTAACTACCTCCTTAAGCACCCCCGCGATCCCAAGGCCCCAGCTGCAGAGGAGATGAGGGACGATATCTTTGATACCAACTCCTATGTTGACCCCAATGGCAGAAAATACCGATCCTGGGACTCCTACTTTGGCCCCGAGACCGTTGAGGCCGGGAACTTCAGCCGCCTTGCCATCTGGGACTTCCATAATATCCCCATGTCCCTTAAGGCTGGCGGTCTGGTTGTCTCAGGCTACGGTAACCGCAGCCATGTTGCCCCCCAGGCATTCAGAAAGGAGAATATCGTCCTCGTTACCGATGGTATCTGTGCCTCTACCTGTGCTATCTTCTCTGACCTAATGAACCGCAATGGTATCAAGTCTATTGCAGTCGGTGGACAGCCTCGCACAGGTCGTATGCAGGCTGTTGGTGGTGTAAAGGGAACCCAGGTGCTTACCTTCCGTGAGCTCTGGAGCATTGCTGAGTTGGTTATCAAGAAGTATTCCACCCCACGCGAGCAGCGCGAGTTGGAGAAGACCCAGCTCGGCCAGATGTACAACAAGGGCAAGTATGTGCTGTCCCGTCTGCTCAACAATGGAGCCGGCGGCCGTGTCAATTACCGCAACGCTGTCTTCACTGATGACAGGAAGCGAGTGCCTCGGCAGTTTGTCTATGAGCCTGCTCACTGCAGGATGTTCTTAACCAAGGACGCCCTGCTTGACGTCAAGCGCTGGTGGGGAGCTGTTGCAAACTCCTGGTGGGGTGACAAGGGTCGATGTATCGAGGGATCTACCTAGATAGTGGAGTCCTCCGCTGCACGAGGAAATCCAGGGAGTATCTAGAAGTCGAAGTATCGCAGATTTCTTATAACATCGAACAGCTGTATATAAAAAAGAAAGCTATTTGAGGGTGTAAATAATCTCTTCCCTTTCAAATCTTTTTCTCTCAAAGTATAGACGATAGCAGGATATTGTAACCCTTGGTCAATCCTTTAGCCAATATAAAATAATACTTCGATGCTGCTTCCTAGGTCCTGCTAATCTATCACTGTATTCCTTAAAGTACTCACTACCTCTCTAGCAATACAACATTAAACAGCATTAGGTACATTCCCAGCAGTTGGAGTACCGCACGAGATGGCCTTCTTTTTTTTACTCTTGCTTTCTAACAGCCCATTTCCGTCCACCGAGCGTTTCTTCCTATCAGGTCGGACGAGTTTGCAGCGGTGGAAGTCAATGATAAGTGCTCGCCTCAACTCTTCATTCCATAAAATGTTTTCCCTGCGAAAGTCACCATGATGTACTCCTAAGGCGCGGATCTCTTTTTCCGACCGTCTGATTTGTCTGAGAAGTTCCTTAGTGGGCTTATGTCCGCTTGTGTGCTCTCCTCCCCAACCCATGAGCAGCATATGTTGGATGGCCCCCACGCCGTGTAAGTAGTATATCATTTTAAGGTCGATTAGTCCTAGAAACACAGGGACTGCAGATCCCTGTAATTCGCGGAGGATACGGTATATAGTTGCTTCGCTTGATACTTCACTCCAGCGGTACGAGGTTGTACCTTTTCCAACGACAGTATAACCATACCGGCGGCAGGTAACTTTGAATGGCGCTCCGTACGAGCCAGAGCTACCAAAGGGCGAGCAATCACGGTTAAGGGTTGTATCAAGCTGCTGCTTGATCAAACCCACCAATTGCTCCGTGGTGATAGAGTGTTTGTCCCCTCCGGCTACTGATCTATGTCTCTCTACATTTGGGCAGGTGATATCCAGGTTGTCACCACGCTTAAGGCCGAGCAAGCATTTCTGCGTGCAAAAGAGCTCAACGTGCGGCTCTTCCCGATAGCTTCCCTGACTCTGACTTCCCCTGTTTTCCATCTGGCGCGACCGTTGTTGACCGGGCGGCGATGCTGTTAGTTGGCTTAAGTTTCGCTTCCTTCCGGCAGCTGCCTGGGGGGAGTCGGAGTCGGAATCTGTGGGCTCTGAAGGATGTGCGGCTGTGCTTTGAGGTGCACAGCCGGCCTGGGATCGAGTTACTGGGCGGTAATAGTCTGCAGTCGGAGAGCTCAGCGGAGAGGACGGCACATATGGAGAGGACG